CTCCAGTTTCTTGGTAATAATAATAATTATTATTATTTTAAGTGTCGATTTCCTTGAATAGAAGCAAACACTTTGGTTAAACATGTCTTGGAAAATTAGTTAAAGTAATTGCATAGCCACCAACAAAAGTGCCAGTGCGGTTATTCCAGTAATTCCCACCACATCACGTCCACAGTGTGCTTCTTTTTCTACATCCATATCATGATCAGGATTATTTAGATCAACACCGGCTGTAGTTGCTGTGTTGGCATCGACTTTGAAACTAACTCTCTCTCTGCAAACTCTTGTGCAGGAGCTCAGTGAGCTCGACTGGAAAATAACATTTTAGGAGTAAAAAACAAACTATATTCACCAAAAAGAGCAAAGAAGATACAAAACCAGCAAAAGAACCGAATTTTAGAGAATCTTGACTGCAGTTTAATCTTTTAAGATGGTATTTGATGATGTAGCTTTAAAGCTACAGTTTGACCTAAAGTGAGCAAAGTCTTCTCACAGAAGGTGACCCAGGTAACGCCTGAAGCCTTGCAGTCTATTTTACGTAGGTATCCATGAGAGCGGCCGTACAAACCCAGCAGGTTTATCTCTATTCTGCTAATAATCTGCCCCATTAAAAGGTAATGTCATATCGCTGTTGGACCTTTGGAATGGCTCTGAACTTCGAGGTGGCGCAAATTTGGCTCGTGGACCCCAGAGGAGCCACAGGCAGGGGGACAATGACAGTTAGAGGCCGAGCTTAATGACTCCTGGGATGGTTGCCAATAGCGAATCTCCTACTGGTCACACTCGGGCGCTAACGATATACGAGCATCCTCAGGCTGAGTGCTCCTACTTTAAAGGGTCAGGGGAAGCAGACAGACCTGCTCTCACTGTGGGCCACGGCACTGCAGGTCTATTTCTGAGCTGCCAGCCTGGATAAGTTTACTTATCTCATTTAATTTCACTAAATTGACTCGTTTTCTGTGTGGGTATCAAATAAAGAATGTTTCATTAGGCTGTTTTCTTTCCCTGTTTGATGACACGGGGCGTCAGTAATATTTGAAGGACTTGACAGTAATTAATGCACAGCGGCGAAATATTAAAGTTTGAATTTGTGCGTGGAATATTCAGTCGAGTCTCTGCAACTCGCACCAATGAATGTTTTTCTATTAAAATGTTCGCTTTGTACATAAATATGAAGGTTCTTAATTTAACTCATCTAAATTCATCAAAGTGCTTAAATAAATTTCTTTAAAAAGATTTAACAAGGCATTAAAGCTACTGAACAGGAGGCACAAATAAACTGATATGACAACCACAAATGTAAAGCACATATGTCATCATATCAAACTCTGCTTTACTTATGAGACTGAGCACATACAGTGTTCAGTTTTCCAAAAATAGCTGGCTGAAGCTGATATAATTGCAGCTTCCTTCTCATTGGGGACTGAATAAAAGGTGTTTTAGTGACCATTCGTACTTCAGCCAAAGTGGCTGCGTGTAATTGGTTCATTTCTTTGACTCCAAATGGTTTGTGTGGATGGATTTGGATGAGTTTTTTCTTTCTAAGCTGAGACAGGACCTCCGAGATTTAATAGGTTTTTTTTTGCCATTCCAAGTTTCAAATTAAGTCTACATCTTCAAGTACATATCAAATGAAAAGGGGGGTTAAGAAAAATGGGTCTCGATCTTCTCAAGTAAATAATTGCAGACCAATTCTGATCCATGTCTAGGGGCTCTTTTTTTTTGGAGGAGGTGGTCTTGGACTTTACCCGCATTTCTGGTTCATGTCTGATTATTATTACTACTAGTAGTAGTAATAAAAATATAAAAATATTAACTGTCCTGTTCATGTATGCCCAGCACTGGGCATCTCACTGCCCCCTGGTTTGATTCCTGCTGTGTGACAGTGTCTGTGTGGAGTGGAGAATAAAGGACCCAAATGCAGACAAAACAAAGCGCGGAAACAAACTTAATGTTAACTGAAAGTGAGCCATTTATTAAAGGCTGGTTTCAACTGTACAAAACAAGGCAAAACTAAAAACTGGCCTAAACTGGGTGAACTAATGCTAAACATAAAAAAAAACCTGAGCGTGAACCTGAAAAACCTGAACTGTGAAGACTTGGCAAAAGTACATGAAAATCCTGGAAAACATGCCACGAGCATAGCAGAATAACAGACGACGAGGAATGAGTGAAAACACACGCAGGAGGTGAGCAGGAAACACATGGAGAAACAGCTGATTAGAATAAACATAGGAAACGTAAACACAGGGGTGACAACAAAGAGGTCTAAGAAACGATGGACTATGACGGCAACCTAAGCATAATAGAAATGAGCGTAGATAAACTAATGAACTTGAACCATTAACATCAAAATATATTAAAACTCAAAACGCTGGGTCACATGACCCGGGATCGTGACATGCTGGTGACCTTTGCTTTGAATGAACGATGCTTTCGCCCCATCATGTTTCCGCAGTCACTGCTGAATATCCAGCTATGGTTAGTATATCCAGATTTATAATATATATTTAAAGAGATGCATTTATTAATGAGTCACATCTTCTTGAAATCATTGAGTCGCTGTGTTTAATTATTTGCATCGACTTGATCTGTTAATTTATTTTCTTTCTTTTTTTGTAGTTTTACACTGAACCACAATCACCACTAACTTTCTTATTTTGTTTTTTTTCTCTTTATAAACCATCTGCTCGGTGACACTCGTCTCTTTTGCCCTCTTTTCATTTGCTGGAGCTTTTTTGTGTTACTGCCCTCTGCAGTGCTGCTGTGCTTCCTCTAAGATACGCAGCACTCTGAAAACCTAGGCATTATTTACCTCCACCTTCCGTTTCCTGGGATTTTATTGCTTTTATTTATTTATTTATTGCCTTGAATGTTTAGCCAGTCCAAAAAGCACCTGTTGCCATGGCAATGAGGTGCTTTTCTGATTTGTACGACTTCACTTGAGCCTTTCCATTCGATACAAAGAAAGCAAAAAGGAGGAAGTGCTATGGGAACTACACGGTGTCAGACCCCCTCAGGCCCGTTCGCTGTCAGCTTTGAAACATAATCCACGGGCCAGACGTCGTCGTCTCCATCTTCTCGTTCCTATTTTCTCTACCCGACCCTGCTTCTGTCTGGAAACAGATACCATCGTATTGATCGGTTCCTCCCGTCTTCTTCTGCCGTAATTCATCTCTGAAATCATGTCATCAGCTGATAGTTTTAATGCCATTGTTGAGAAGAGCAGGTGTGTGTGTGTGTGTGTGTGTGTGTGTGTGTGTGTGTGTGTGTGTGTGTGTGTGTGTGTGTTAGACTGGTACAAATATCTACAGACATGCTGGTGCCTCACACCTCCCACCTGTTTCTTGCGGGTGAAGCTGTACATTCTGTCAATGGGAACAGGATTCGCTGGAATTTTTTTGTTTGCTCGCTTTCACATAGACCAACTTTCCTGGGGAACAATTACTGAGCATCTGCAGTGTGCTCCTGTTTGGCTTTGCCCCCCAAGCTGTTATACATGTTCACATCTGGGATCTCGCCGGCCATCAGCCCGTAAAGTTGAAGATGCTGTGAATATCTTGTTTGACAAGTACTTTAATCAGAAAAAAAGAAACTCTAAGGAGCAGCAGCAAACTTGATGAGCAATCCCTGCTCTTTAAAAGCACTTTTGCAGTGGAGTAGGTCACAGGAAATTGAATAGGTTCATGTAAGCTGAGTGTAAAATGTTTTATCTGCAAATTTACTGGATAATGGCAAAACTTACATTCGCTCCTCTGAAGTGGTTCTTTCATGGGGGGGAGCTGATTTTTCTGAGTCATTTTGGGGCCATTTTAGACCCTCAGTGTGGCTGGATGTGAGTGGGAGCAGAGGCACTGTGAAGGTAGATGTCAGCACAGTGTGTTAGAAATGGGCTTAAAATACAACAGTCTATATAACAGCAGTTTTCCTGGAAGAACTACTGTTAAGTATCCATTTCATGGGTCAGACAAAAACACACGTTATTAATATTTCATTTTATTTAGTAAACATAAACAGGGCGATGTTTGTGAACTTTAAAAACACCATCAATGTGGTCTGTTTTGTCATGAAGCAGGTGTAAATAATTAATCTTCATTTGCTCCTGTTATATTTTGAGCGCCCTGTAGGGGAATTGCAGCCAATTGGCTTAAGGTGAAGAAGCTCTCTGTGGATTGGCTCTGCTGTTAGTGTGTATTTAATGAA